CCTAATTTAATTTCACACATATATATTTTAAAAAACCAAACAAGAAGTGTTGAAAGACTGGCTGCAGAGTTTGTAAGTGAAGTGACTTTCACTATATGATATACATCTGCCTGATAAAAGCTCCTTTAGAGAATTCCTCCATGCTCCTTGCTGCTGAGTCAGCGTCTGAATTCTCATGTAACATCCTTTGATACTTCAGTCCAAACAGTTAATTATACAGATAAGAGACACATCAAAGTTAAACAACTGTAGACCAAAGTGCATTACCACAGTTTTTTTTTTAATCTGATGAAGCTGAAATACGTTATCTTTTTACAAAACCTACAAAACAGTCAAGAAAATAATGCAAATTTAGCTATTTTCCAGTTGACACCATTTATTGTTACCAGAGTCCCTTGAAAAAAAGCATGTATACAAGCCTAGTATAAGAACTCAATAAATACATTCCAAAACTGAGGTCCCTCTAACACTACTGATAGAAGAGCCATTTCAAATTGATATGAAAGAAACCCCCAATTATGTCTTTTCCCAAGAGAAGACAGTTAACATCTATTTGGTGAGAGAATACTACCCAAATCATCAAATGCTTTTTCCTGTGCTTAGGCAGGGAAAGGGAGGGTAGAGTTAATGGCACACATTCCTTTGGACACGCCATCAAAGAGCCAAAAGCTGTTCCCATTTCCCCAGAATGGTAAAGTAAAATTTTTCTTTGCATTTTGGTGGTGCACAAGCCAACTGAAGTTTGGAAATTCTTAATTTTTTGGATTCAAAATGAAAACCACAAGAGCCCAGAATCTTATCTCAAGTTGTCTGATGTTATGGTTTCGAATCCACATCAGAAGACACTGATTCCATGGCTTTCAGTTGTTTACATACTGAAATGATTTGACACTATGCTGTCTGTTCTGTTCTGCCTTTCCTTTAAACTTTGGATTTTAAAGTTTAAATTATGTTTAGTGATGCTTAGTCTGAGTATACAGCCTAGGCATACTTTCCTAGATTGGGCATTCATAGAGAAGTTTGTTCAGTAACAGATAAGAACGAGAAATTGATGTGTTGGTTAGACACAACACAGTAAATGTTACTTAGCACTTTTCATCTCCATTTCTCATCTCCAAGTACACATAAACAACCAAAATAGCAGAAACAAAGTATCAGACTTCTTGTAATTAGGCAGTATTACCTGCATACTGTAAACTGGGAAACTGAGCCAAAGAGAACGATGGAAGCATCTGGAAGCCCTCTGTGTGTTACTCTGATGAACTTCAAAGGACTTAACAGGTAATGGCATTAATAAACACTTTAAGTAAATACCACTGCATGTGCTATAAATGTGGTTGGCATCTCCAGGACACTTTAAAAAATTGATTAGTGCTACACTGGACAGCTGAGTCATCAATGCCCGTCCTTCCACTAGGACAAGAGGATGTCTTGTAAGCAGGTTATTTATATTCTTAATATCTTCAGCAGGAAGTACAGTCTGGTTAGGTTTGGTAGTCATTAAATAGCACTTTTTTTGTGTGTACTGCCCTTCACCTATAGATTTCTTTCCAGAGCAACCTCCGTCTTAAGTAAGAGCAATTACAAATGGGCCAACTTCTTTTAGCCTAAAAGAAGAAAGACAGTCTTGAATCATGCACAGTGCAAAGGTTTGTTTTGGCCAGAAGCAAGACCAAGCCTCCATATTAAAGTTCTTTATATGCAGCATCACTAGTTTATCCCGCTTGGAGGTAACAGAAAACTGGAATCCAGAGGATTGTTTTCTTTTTTAGTAAAATGCGCAAGTGGTCTTGGACTTGCCAAGATACAATATTTTTTTAAAGAGCTGAACAGACCTTGTTTCCTCTTCAGTATCTCTCTTAATTCCACAACATAATAATCATGGTATCAACCCAGGACATAATATTAAATTCGTTTTCATCCCTGCTGTGCATTTTGAGAGAGACTGTTGGAAGACTCTACCCCCAGTGTATTGTGTGCTCTTAGATCCTATTCTGTATAGTCATGTCTGCAAATATTTACAAAGCAAAAAATACTGTTTGTCTCACTCAGCAATGCACCCCACGTGTCTTTAATGCTATTCCATATCAGCGCTTCAGACCAAAACAAGACACAAACACAACTGAAAATTATAAAAGACAGAAATACTTTTAGTGGCCTACAGCCAACTGTGGTCTGAACACTTCGCTTGTGAGCTCGTCACAGGCATGCAACACTTGGAATACAGCTCATAACCTTTGGCTGCACAAATATAGACCTTTAGTCAACAAACTCAAGCAAGTTTGGTTCATCCGAGTAAAATCAGGCCGATCAGCAGCTGATCTGCTTCAGATGTTGTGACCTGATGCCCAGCTCCAGTGGCCGTGGCAGAACACACCGTCCTTTGGAGAGAAAAAGCAAGAGGATTCCCAAGCACAAGGAGAAAGCAAGGCTGCAGTGTGCCAGGGGTCTGCATGTGGTCCTCCTAAAGGTGTGTTACCTCCTCAGTACGTGGGGATAATGCCCACTAAAGGACTGCAGAGGTGTCTGACTTCAGCACGGGGGCATTTCACTATGCCTGCAGCCTGCAGGCCTGGCTAGCACAGAGCCCAGGCAGGTAACATGTAGGTAGCATCTCATTTCACGTAGATCTGCCCCTTTTGAACAGCCCCAGCACCAGTCCGCCCCAGTAGCCAGAAAGTTCAGCCATGACAAGTTGTGGAAGATAATTTTAAAAGTACAAAGCTTAATCACAACGTTACATGATCACAGCTAGGGCAAGTGTAATGAACGAATCATCTCACATCTCACATAAGCTTGTTCTCTTCACCACTCCAAGAAGCAGTTTCACCACAGGATGTCTTCTTCTGCAGAGTAAAACACCCATCCCACTGCCTGTAAGCTGAAAGCTTTATTTATATTAGGGGTTACTGATTTCTTCACTGACTCTACAGAGAAGATCAGAGTAAACCACGTTTTTAAGCGCTAAGTAAAGCACTGCAGATCCCCATGAAAAAAGCTTGTTTGGAGTTTGACTTGCAAGGAACCTTGCTTAGCTTAGTTCAGAGATGGTCTCAGTTCTTCCATGAAATTTAAGATGGCATGCTAACAAGTCAAGAAGTTTGATAAAATACACAATAGTTTTAAAGGATGAAACAGAAATATTGGATGTATGCTTTTATTACAGTCACATACATTTTTAATTAGATTAAATTTGACTTCTGAGACAGAAGGAACTGCAATTCTGCCTTGTTTCCAGACTCGCTATCTCGATTATAAGAAAAAGCCTCTTCACCTTCTCTGTGCCTTCTTTTACTGACTAGGAAAGGCATACAAGAGATTATTAAGTTCAATATGACTCCAAAGCTGAAACAAAAGCCTTTTCCTAAATCAACTGTATACCCATTACACATGCTGTATACATGCTGAAAAATAAACACTGGCAAATACAGAGTACAGTCTTGGAAATGGCTCAAGTGACTGGGTTTTTTAAAAGGCTTTATAAAATATATAAATCCTGGCAACTGGACGATGTTAACTTGAAGACTGAACTTGACTCTGATCATTTTCAGGAAGAACATCTTGCACTTCGCTCTGCGGGAAGGTACACTGCAACTTGCAGAAGCAGGTCCTCCCACATGCAGCTGGAACACAACGGGCTGCTCCCCAACCAGGGGTTCATCACCCTTCCAAAACCAAAAAACCTGGTTTTCTTGATCATCTTTAATCACAAACGAGTGGATTCCAGAGGTTAATTGCAGCGGTGCTGTTTTTATGCAGCCTCCACATTGACTCACTGGGGGGGCCACAGCACATGGCCATGCTTGTTGCCCATTCCAGGCAGTTGAACATCAACAGCATCTCAGCTCTCTTTCCCCTGTAACTCAGCACTGGTGAGGTCCCACCTTGAGTACTATGTCCAGTTTTGGGCCCCTCACTACAGAAAAGACATTGAGATTGTGGAGTGAGTCCAGAGAAGGGCAACAAAGCTGGTGAAGGGTCTGGAGAACAAGACTTACGAGGAGCAGCTGAGGGAGCTGGGGTTGTTCAGCCTGGAGAAAAGGAGGCTGAGGGGAGACCTTATCACTCTGCACAACTACCTGAAAGGAGGGTGCAGTGAGGAGGGGGTCGGTCTCTTCTCCCAGGTAACAGGTGATAGGACAAGAGGAAATGGCCTCAAGTTGCACCAGGGGAGGTTTAGATTAGATATGAGGAAAAAGTTCTTCACTGAAAGGGGTAACAAACATTAGAACAGGCTGCCCAGGGAAGTGGCGGAATCATCGTCCCTGGAGGTATTTGAAAGACGGGCAGATGTGGAGCTTAGAGACAGGGCTTAGCGATGGTTTTTGTCAGTGTTAGGTTGACGGTTGGACCCGATGATCTGAAAGGTCCCTTCCAACCTCAGCAACCCTACGATTCTGTGACTGTCTATCCTCTGCGGGAAACGTACCACAGCTCCACCACCACCCCGCAGCCGCCCTTCTGACCAGGCGGGCAACGCCCCACGACCCGCGGCCGCCCTCCCTCGGTGCCCACCATCCCCGGGCATCCCTCTCCTGAAGGGACGGGG